TCCAAGTATAAGGTGTTATGCAGACATTCTCCATGACTGCGTGAAACTAAGAAAAGGCAAAACAAGAAGAAAAAGCAGCTCAGGCTTCAAACTGAGACCTGATAACCGTGTACTAATCTGGAAGAATGAGAATGGACAGCAAGGATATGAACTCAGAGAGGAAGAGATTATGTAAGGAATAAGCCCAAGAAAGAAAGCTCCCTGTTGGAATACACTCACCATCTACTTGGTCACTGAAGTCCCAATGCTTACAATGATTCCTGGCGCGTTATAGACTCTCAATGAATACTTGTTGAATAACAAATGGTTGACTGAATAACGGAATGAATGAAAGGTGAATGTGTACAATTCATTGCACAAAATAGATGTCCCTTTTACATCAGCTTTGGTGTGAGCTGCATAAAATGGCTTTCAAAGACACCTGGCTATTCCAGAGCAGAAATATGCAAGGGTTTATGTGAGAAGTTATGCTGTGTGAAAGGACTTTCTCTTCATATTTCATCATAATTATTATCTCCCTTATTATTATAGTAACTTAACTCCCCTGCAGAGTGAAATCTGTCTCCAACATTGTTCTCTGCTACTTGTGTATGCTGTTTTAAGAAATTTTTCAAAAATAATACCAAGCTGCAGGCCATGGTTGTGAATGCCTGTAATCCCAGCATTTGGGAGGCTGAGGCAGGAGGATTGCTGTGAGTTCAAGACCAGCCTGGGCTACATAGTGAGTTCCAGGTCAGTCTCAACTACATAGTGAGATCCTGTCTCAAAAAAAATGAAATATTATAATAATAATATCAAGCAAAATATATAATAAATGTACCATCCCATTAAACATATTTCTTGAAGCATACTAGTTTCCCTTTACTATTTTTTCTAAATTGGGAAACTGCCCTACTAGTAAGATCAGACTCCTCTCCCTAACATTTGACTGTCTCCACCCTTACCCTGTCCAACCCAATTAACTCAGCTTGTGTCCTTCCACGTATAAACCACCCCAATTAAACTGACTTCTTTTGCATCCATCATGCACAATTTCATTTGCCAGATTTGGTTGTATTTACCCCCATACCTCAATACCATTTCTCTTTCCTATTAGTTGCTATTTTTCATTTTCAAGCCCTAACTCCTGCTTGGTGTTTCGTAAAACTCTGTCCAGTCATTTTTCAGAGTTTCTGCTGTGTTGTTTTCAGAGCCCAGCTCGTGTTTCCATTATTCCATGTGACTTCTTTCAAGGTTGGCATTTAATACATATGTATTGATTGGGGATTTTTTTCCTCACTGTGATTTTAGTGTGCCAATGTTTATTTTCAAAGTAGTATTTAAAAGCCTCTGTAGTCTCAAACATTAGCTAGACAGCCATGTGTAGGTGATGTGTCACACATTTTACACGTTGACATTATGCAATTTTCTCGACATGTGAAGGAATAGCATATGAACTGGACTTTGGCCAAGGAGTTTTACTTATTTCCATGTAGAAAATTATTTCTAAATTTCTTAAACTTTGTATTTTTCCTTGATTTCTGTTTCAGCCAAAGCATTAGTCTGGTAGTCACACCAGATCAGAACTAAAAGTCTTTGCTCTCAGTTTATGAACTTCATAACGACTTTTTCAGAGGCAACATCTAGCTATAAGAAAAACTTCACAGACAGCTGCCATGGATGTTGCACAAGTGACAGCTGGTTATCCTGAGTCAAAACCACTGTAGAGCCCTGCACTGATTTTCTTTTCTGTAGCTTTCTCTTACTCCATAGCTGTCTTTCTGATAAGCTCTAAGTCATTCCTCTAATAATGATGGCTTTTAATTAAAAAGCATTTTCTATGTCAAATGTGGTCCTATGCCAGCAACTTAACATTCATAGCACCTCACTGATAAAAGATGATTAATATTTATAACATAATTTATTGAGAATGTACACTTCTGGCAGAGTAACATATACCAGAACAGTCCTGCCATTAGCAACTGAACTCTGGGCTAAATAAAAAACACAACTGCCTGGGTTACTAAAGAGCAACAAAAAGTTGGCAGAATATGGGTATAATATGATCCTTGAAAAAGGGAAGCTGGATGAGAAATCTGTTTACCTGCTTCTCTTTTTAGGGCAAGCCCTAGACTAGGTAGCCTAAAAGCTCTAGAGGTTTTGTTTGTTTGTTTTGTTACCAGGGATCGAACTCAGGACCTTGCACTTGCGACGCAGGGGGAGGAACCACTGAGCTAAATTCCTGGCCCAAGCTCTAGAGTTTAATAAGGACCAATAATCTTTCTGTGCTGAGAAGCTGAGAGATCAGTGTTCAGAGCATATGAAAACTGAGGGAAGAATTCTGCAAAGGAAGTAATCACGAATGGGAGGAGAACCTCAGATCTGTACCTTAGCTGTGTTCAGATTCTTCCCTACATTCTGAACTGCACAATTGGGAAGGCTACATCTATGGCAGGGGTCAAATGTGTGAGACTTAGAACTACACAGAGATTTCTGCATCTTCCTCCAGTCCTGCAGAGACAGAATTTAACATTCAAGTCCTACCAAGTCAGTAGGGGTTAGTGAACATCTTGGACTTTTCACTAAAACCCCAGAGGGCCACACCTTAGAATGAGAATCACATCCCAGAACAAAGATCAAAACTGAAATAAATGAACACTAATAAAATGCCAAACTAAAATCAGATAGTGACAGGCTCAAGGTAATCCACTAGTATTTAACTGCTTGCTTAAAAAAAAATTCTCACTACTCTTCAAAGGAAACTGCAGAATACAAAGTCTTGTTTGTGTATCATCATTTACAATTGCAGTGTAAATGTCTTTTGCAAAAATTACTAAATATTGAAAAAACAGAAAATTGTGACCCATAGTAAAGAATAAGATCTTTATAAAAAGACCTACAGACCTCTCAGATGTTGAAAATGGTAGTTGGAGGCATTAAAATAACTATAACAGTGTTAGGGATTTAGCTCAGTGGCACTGCGCCTGCCTCACGAGTGCAAGTTCCTGAGTTCAATCCCCAGTACCAGAAAAAACAAACAAACAAAACATATTAAAAGAACTTCTAGAAGATGGAGGAGATAGATAGGTGACTTCAGAAGAGATATGGAAAATCGAAAAATAAATAAATCATGTATTTATAATTTAAAAGCACAATATCTGAAGCTTGAAAAGCATTGTCGGGACCAGATCTAACAATGTAAAATAAAGAAGTAGTTAACTTGAAGAAGGTTCAATAGAAATTATTGAAAATTAAGCAGGCAGAAATATAATTTTAAAAGTGATCAGAATTCTATAAATTATGTTATTATCAAGTGGTCAAAAATTCATGTACTTCAAGTCCCATAAGAAGAGAGAAATGAGGGTGAAAAAATACTGAAAGGAATATTGAACATTTTTTTCCAAAATTTGACAACAAACATCAAAACACAGATCCAAAAGCTCATCAAATATAAAATATAAAATACACTGAACACATTCACTAAAAACCAAAGATAAAGTCTTAAAAACAGCCAAAGGGGGAGAAAAAGACAACAAAAAGAATACATTTGGTTCATTTTCAGAAACAAAAAAAGCTGAAAAGTGACATTATCAGTATTGAAATTTTAAATATCCTTCAAAAATGAAGATAAAATAAGGAAAATTTCCAATAAGCAAAATAAAGGTAATTTCTTGCCAGAAAATTCATCCCATAAAAGAAGGCTAAAAGGAGTTACTCAGGCTGAAAAAAAAAAATAAAACATCAGATAGAAATTTAAAACTACAGGATAAAATGAAAGATACATAAAATATAAATATACAGATAAGTATAAAAGGTTATTTTTCCATTTTTTCCAACTGTCTAGCACAAAGTTGACTGTTCAAAGCAAAAATAATAACAACTCTTCGGAGGTTATAGTTTATTGAAAATTTCTATCAGACACTGTTATGGTTCAGATCTGGAGTGTCCCTCAAAGGCTCCTGTGCTGAAGGTTGGGTCCCCAGTGCCACAGTGTTCAGAGGTGGGGCTTTGGGGAAGTGAATGAATCATGAAGATTGTGACCTCGTCAATGGATCGACTCACTGATGCATTCATAATTTGATGAGCAAGTGGAAGGGGATGGAAATTTAGGCATTGGGTCCTCATTGAAGGGAGTAGGTCTTTGGTGGTACACTCTTAAGGATGGCATATCTCGTCCCTGGCCATTCCCCCTTTCTTTCTGTCTTTCTCTCTCATTCTCACTTTGCTTCCTGGCTACCATGAAGGGAGGAGCCTCCTTTGCCACCTGCCCTCAGTGTCGTGATGTTCGGACCTCAAGGAATGGAGCTAATGGACCTTGGACCAAAACCCCTGACATCCTGAGGAAAGATGAGTCTATCCTCTTTGTAGGTGGTCTACATCAGGTGTTTTGTCACAGCAATGGAAAGTTAACATAGGCATTGGTCCAACTGTTTTGCAAACATTAATTCATATAATCCTTGCAAGAAGAGGAGAAAATGCAGAAGTGTCTAGGAGCACGTCTGTAGTGGTTAAAACATGAGTTTTGGAATTACAAAGACCTGGACTCCGTTCCTGTCTTTTCATTTATCAGTTGATGTTCTTGGCAAATTTATTTAATGATTTAAACATTAATTTCCTTGTCTGATGCATACACACAATAGTATTTCTTAAATTGTAAAAATCAAAAGAAATAATTTATACAAAGAAAATCATCTCAAACATGGGCATCTTATAGGATAGCCACACACATTAGTATAGAGATGGTGTAAGGTACTGGTTACCTCTGGCAGTGACTGTTAAAGCCAGACGGTTCTAGGTAACCAATGCCCCATACCATCTTTGTCTCCTAGAGGGCAACTCTAAACCATGAAAAATGTAAAAAGAAACTCAAATTCCCTCCCTATCCGGGACTTGAGAACATAGAAAATGCAAATGTTTCTGCCAAGTTGAGGAAGAAAAAAAGCATCTGCTACTTTCTTTGATAGAAGACATCTGTCTTGAAAATTGCTAAACTCGAGGGTGGAAATATTTATTTTAAATACCTTTAGATCCTCCAGATTCCAACTCATACAGCCTTTTATGGTTTTGTTACAGCAGCACATTTTCTCTACCAATAAAAACAAACAAGTCATCAACAAAGACATGCATCTTGGAACACGAGCGACTGTATCAAGCGTTTGAAATTGTGCAGCAGAAGTATTTTTCTTGTTCTGGCTAGTTATGTCGTCAATCTGATGCCCCAGTGAAACTCCTATTATGATTTACACATGATTATTTTGCTTTCTTTTTGGCTTTTTAAAAGGGTCAGAGCAGCAAGAAAGCTTCCTGTCTGTGAAAATGCTAATCTCTATCTAGCATTCACTAAATTATAGTAGATACTACTGAATTTTATAGATGCTACTAAAATTTTATTTATGTTTTAGTAGTTGTGGGACTTTAAAATTCAGTTCAGTTCCAGGCCTTTAAATAATGAAGGCATTATTAGTTCGTTCATTTGTTGAGTGAAAAATTTTAGCAAGCCTCTGCCACATGCCAGGAACTGTGTAAGGCATTATGGGATGTACACAAAGAACAGCCATCCAGGAGCGGCAATCCGGAGAAAGTCTGAAAGTGGTACTTTGTGTTCAGTGTGATGTTTATTGTGGCAGAAAGATTAGGGGTAAAGGAAATTGAAGGATAGAGAATAATTCTGGAATGGTGACTTCAGGTGAATTCACAGTGAATTGAGTCTGAAAGGATGCAGACAAGTTAATCAGGTCTTCGTAAAAAGAAAATTAAGAAACACAGTCTAAAACACTAAGACCTGTAAGGAGCACAAATGGAGTACTATTTTGAAAGCTAAATTATATTAAGTATCAAACATACCAGTCTTAAAATTTAGCATGTTCTGGAGGCTTAATTGACTAGAATCTTATATAAATAAATAAGATAAAAATAATATTGATGTGTTCAAAGTATAATTTCTGTCTATATGACTTCCAATATTTAAAAGAAATGGAGTACATCATAGATTTTAGAATCAAGTCAGTTACACACATTTTATGAGATTAAATAAACAACTTTAGGTAAGTAGAGATAACCAGAATTAATGACATAAGTCAATCAGCAGACAAACTTGTCACATATCTCTTGGTTTTGTTTAGCTTAGCTTAGGAGGTACTTTCTGGTTTTACTTTGGCACAAGTTATAAAATAGTTGTATGTCCTTTCTATTTTTGTTGAATTTGTTTCTCTCACAGATGTTTCAGCAACAGCCTCTGACAGGCATTGTTTTAGCTTAATGTGATTTCTTGAAGATTCATCTAAAGTATGAAAACTTTGCTTTGACACAAATTAGTAAGTGATACTTATTTGGATTTAAATAAATGAAAACAACCCTGAGATTCCACTTTACCCCAGAGAAAATGGCTGCTATCAAGAAATCAACCAATAACAAATTGTGGTGGGGCTGTGGGGAGAAAGGAACCCTTCTTCATTGTTGGTGGGAATGCAGACTGGTGCAACCACTGTGCAAATCAATATGGAGATACTTCAAGCAACTAGGATTAGAAGTTGGATTTAACCCAACTATTTCTCTGCTGGGTATCTTCCCAAAAGATTTAAAAGATTCCTACCAGCAACATACACTCACACATGTTTATACTGGCATAGTTTGTAATTGCTAAAATTTGAAAAGAGCCCAATTGCCCATCAACTGGAGACTGGATAAAAGTGTGGTGGTGGGTGTGTGTGTGTGTGTGTGTGTGTGTGTGTGTGTGTGTGTGTGCTTTAATAAAATGGTGTCTTACTCAGCCATAAAGAATGAGAAACTAGAGATATTTATACCTAAGTGGATGTACATTGGGGCCATGCTCTTTTTTTTGTTTGTATGTTTGTTTGTTTGGTTTGTTTTTTGAGACAGGGTCTCACTATGTAGTTGAGACTGACCTGGAACTCACTATGTAGCCCAGACTGGTCTCGAACTCACAGTGATCCTCCTGCCTCAGCCTCCCGAGTGTTGGGATTATAGGCATGTGCCACCATGCCCAGCTGGGGCCATACTCTTAAATGAAATTAATAAGTGACACATGTGTAAATACCAGATAGTTTCTTTGGTGTGAAAACTAAAAGTGTAAATAAGGATCAAAGTGTATAATTGATATTGTGTAATAGGAAGAAGAGATCTAAAAGAGTAGAGGAAGTGGGAAGGGTAGGGAAAGGTAAGAAATGAAAAGAGAAAACCTGAAAAGGAAAAACATGGAAACAAAGTCTTTGTAAATGTGGGGGGGGTGAAGGGAGGGCTGGGGCATGGGGAAAGATAAGAACCAAGATAAGTCATGTAAAGGTACAAGATCCCGATGATGAATGTAACTGTATTGTATACCTAAAATGTACCAACAAACAATAAAGGAAAAAAATAAATAAATGATGATTTGTCATTTAAAAAAAACCATGACTTGTACATCAACATGCTTTAACCTGTCAACTCTTTGAAATCACTAATAATGTCAAACTCTATGCTCTAGAGTAGGAGGGCTTTAGTAACAGAACAATCTAAAAAGACCATTTTTCTACTTTAGCCCATCAATGGATCTCCTAGTGAGTATAATGTTTCTCCTATGATAACTGTTATGGTTTGGATTTGAAATGTTCCTCAGAGACTCACGTTGTAGGCTGAGTCCCATGCAGCGATGTTTACATGTGGGTCTGGGGAAATGTTTGGATCACGAGGGCTGACTTCATCAGTGACTTAATCCACTGATAGGTTCATAATTTGATGAGCAACTAGAAAGTGACAGAAACTTAGGAGATGGGAGATAGCTGAAGTGAGTGGGTTCTCATGGCCATGCTCTTGGGCCTATATCTTGTCCCCAACACTACCCCTTCCTACTCCTCTTCCTTCTTCCTCTCCCCCTTCCTTTTTCTCTTTCTTCCTTCCTTTCTCCTTTCTGGTTGCTATGTGGTGACCAGATTTCCTCCATCACATAAAATTTCTGTTTCACCATAGACCAAACATTATGGTACCAGCTGGCCATGGCTTAAACTTCTGAAACCATGAGTCAAAATAAACCTTTCTTCTTTAAGTTGTTTTATTGAGATATCACAGAGACAGAAAAATGACTAATGCAATAACATTCTGGATGTTTTTGTTTGTTTTTTCTGGCAGGGCTGGAACTCAAACCTAGAGACTTGTGCATGCTAGGCAAACACTCTGCCACTAATCTATACCCCTGCCACTGAATAGTTTCTTGTGTTTTATTGTTTTTGTTTCTTAGGGTAGAATGAGAAAGAAAGAGAAAGCAATGTCTTGGTGCTTCTTGCTGTTGTTGTTTTTGTTTTGTCCCTTCTAAAGGAACTGGAAAGCCTGAATTACTGAATTGGTACTATGTGAAAATCTGAACGTTTTACTCAACTCTTGTTGCTGTGAACAAGAATGCAAAAACTCAAGGCATTAAGGATCACTTAGCATTCTGGGTCATCCAGAGTGGAGTGCACTTAGGGTGAAACCTATGATGAATGGGTCCTCCTTGCCATTTTTTTTCAACCACTAAAGAAAAAAATCAAGCAACTTCCTGGGATTAGAGTTAAATGCTAGATAACAATTCAACAGAGGGTTGAAAATTGGTAGGCAGATCACAGCAAATTCAGGCTGCCTCTGGCTCACACCTGTGGTAGGAGACTCTTCACACTTCTTGTCTGTTTCTCAGCAAAAGAGGAAGTGTTAGGCTAGACTGTAAATTCTGATGACTTGAACGAACACCCGCCTCTTCAGACATCTTTTCAATCATGTGATCAACCCTAAAATAGACCCTCTAATGCAGGACAAGAACACCTTATGACCTCTCTCTTTCCTATCTCTTTTAGTCCACACTTTGATTTGAGGAGCTCCGGGAAAAACGTTGTCTTGACATATTTTCATTTCTAAGAAGACTTACTGACCTTTGAAGTACATCTAATTAGTTGTCTTATTTACTATCAAACTTTATTCTCTACTTCAGTTAATTTTTACTAAAGCTAACATCTTTAAAATGTATGTTCAAGTGTCTAGAAATGTATTAAGCAGTTGGATGCAGTCTTACAAATATAATGGGTAATAGTAATAATGATTGGTCTGCAAAGGAAAATGTGAAATAATTTGAATTTGGTCTGAGTATAACTGTCTGATGTTAGCAATTGGAATATCTTTGGGACAAACCTATTATGAGGATGTTCTGCCAAGATAAAGGAAGGAGGAAATAAGCACCACACCCCAGTAGGACTATATAGAGGTTTTTGAAAACACTTTTAAAAATAGCTTGTCTGATGATAGAATAAACTGACCTTAAAGAATATTTCCTAATCTTTCTGCCATGAGGTGTTAGTTTCCAAATTTACAGGCCATCATTCTTATACTAGTCCCAATTCCCTCTTCTAAGACTTCCCAAATTCTGCTCCCAGCTCTGCAGTGGAGGGAAGGATGTTTTCCATGCTTTCCACCCAAGGTGATTGGAATCAGGATCACAATTATATAAAGAACACCAATCTTTGCTTTTCTACTTCTTGCAAAAGTATAGAAAAATGTGTCTTATTTGGGGCTTATGATGTTTCTTCAGTACACTATTATCACTGTGACAAGAAGAGATTGTTCTTTCTGAAGAAGCACCACTTATAATTTTGAAGTGATTTGCCAGTTAAAGTCACAATTATATTCTCTAAATTTCCAGAGAATCTGAACTGATAATAACCCATCTTTTAATATATTTGAATCACAAATAAAGGGCAAAGGAAAAATTGGTTTCTGAACTTTACCAGTTTCCAATGATTGATAGATATGGACCAAAAATATATTCTGAAATTCTAGAAGATCTCTGCCTTAGACTATTTGGGATGCTATACAAAAATACCATAGACTAACTAGTTCAAAGAACAGAATTCTATTTCTCTGTTCCAGGGTCTGAGAAATTGCAGGCCAAGACGCTGGCATCTTTGATGTGGTCCTATTTCGTGGTTAATAGACAGGACCTACTTACATGAAGAGTAAGGAAACACTTTGATCTCTTAAGCCCCTTACAAGACCCACAAGGTCACCACCTGAGTGACCTAACCACTTCCTGAAAATCACATTGGTGATTGGGTTTCAACATATAAA